CCCCCCCGCACCCAAAACGCGTCCTGGATGGTAGGGCATTCCCAAAGCCAAGGTGAAAGGGTCCTTCTCCACTGTTGGGACGAGCTTGCCTTCAACAAGCTCTCCAGTGTACTCAAGCTGTAGCAAAAGCAAAAAGGCAACATCAAGTTAGTGTTTATGTAAAGTGATATATGTACAACAGATTCATGCAGTTCACAATTCATAGTTGCTTACAAGTTTATCTGCCATTTCTTTTGTTTCCGGAGCCATGATGGACCATTTACCGGTTTTCTTGTCACGAGAATGCAAAGAACAGAAGAAATCTCCAGCACGACTCACCAAAGTACTGGTCGTGGAGTCAGAGGGCACAGTGGAGGACCCTAGTAGCGAAGTGGGGTATACTCCCTCACTTACCCACGTCTCCCTCCATTCATCATACGTCATACACCCCATACAATGGTAGTATTGCTTCTGCAATGCATTCTTGGAATTCTGCTCTCTTATTTCCTACATAATTAGACATATTAGTTTCAAAACTACCAACATATATTAAATATATTTTACAATTGTCATCAGAGTTACTTGAACTTATAATTGCTTCTTTTTTGCTTTTTTGAAGAACGAAAGCATCCCAATCTTCCTTTGATACACTAGGCCATATTTTCCATGGGAGTTTCTCTTCATCAATGACTTCTTCATCCATGCCACCTTCTTTCTTGTTCTTTGGTTTTCTCACAAGCTTCTTTGTGATAAACCGACGAACTAAGGTGATCTTGAAGCCTCTGAATCTTGCCGCAAGTAAGGATTCAAACACCCTTCGCTTGGCGTACTCATTTGTAATGTTAAATAGACTCTGCAAGTACAAATAACAATCATTATTAGTTTTCCCATTTAATAATAATAAAATGAAGGAATTTGTAAATGTGCAAAAAAAACACTTACCCTAGTATCATTCCAAAACGTGTCAATCAAGCCTGTAGGTACTTCGCTCAAACGAAGAGTAATGGGAATTTTGCGCGCACAAATCCCAACTTGAACAGCATACTGACGACGCCATTTGCCTGTAGGTTGTCCTACCCTGTCATACTCCAAGACCATTGGACCGACAGGTTTCTTGAAACTTGTAGTCGGACCCCTCAGCTTTTTCTGCGCTGGTCTCTTCACCCCCCCTCCACTTTGATCCTCGCCGAACGACTCAAACATTGCATTCTCGATAGGAAGCGCTTGTTCAGCTGCAATTTCAAACTCATCAAGCATACGATCCAAAACATCTTGAGCCTGATCTTCTGCCTCACCCAAATCAGGCTCCTTGTTCACATCATACATCTCGTCCCCATCATCAGATGAATCATCACCGTCGTCTTGTACATCCTCGACTACAATACGGTACTGATCGTCCGCCATGAGATGTAAAAACCTGTCATTACAAACATAACACGTTATTAGTTGTAATATAAATAAATTGGTACTATAAACTTATAATCAAATATAAATTGCTGAATTATAATACAAATTAATATAGAAAATGGGGAACTAAGTTACTTCATTCATTTACAAGAAAATAAGAAATATGGGCAAGTAAGTTAGCAAATTCATTCATTTTCACCTAAAAATGTGATTTATTAATACTTTCGACGCCTACAATTTCAAACTAACAAAAAATAGTACCTCCATCTAATATTCCTTCGTCGTGGTCTGATCGCATGTAATTGGCTTGGTCGTCTATCTCATTTGGTACAACAGGTCTAGGAACAACGAAAGGTGCCGAGTCATCAAACGCATCATATTCTTCCTCATCCTCGACATCTCCAACGCCAAGGATTCTTCTTTTGTCGGCTAGCACAATACACCATTTTGAGTCGGCTGGGTCACTTACGTAAAACACTTGCTTTGCTCGAGATGGACACATGAGCTTCTTAGCGTAATAGTAAGACTTAGGAATTTCATTCCCGTCAGGCAACATCTCACTTAACACGCTCAACAAAGAAGTAAAACTACTATCCGTCCACCCATGCTTCGACTTAATGTTAAAAAGTGTTAGCACGGCGGATAGTTTAGAGTATTTTTTGCACCCAGGATACAAAGGCTTTTTAGAAGCCTCCGATAATGACTCAAACACGTTCCCTTCAAAACCACGCATCATCTCATCCACCCCTTCATCCTCGAACTCATCCACATGATCATCCTCAAATCCATCCTCAGCACCATGATCAACAATATGTTCATCATTATTCTTGTACTCCTCATCCACACAAATGTCATTGCTTCTATCATCATGCACATCATTCCCAATAACATCCCCACTGTATTCTCCTTCTTCACCGTGCCAAATCCACACATGGTATTTAAGCCTAAACCCACGACAAACTACATGATCTCTAATGATAGCAACACTATTGACCACCTTCACATTATTACAATCAACACAAGGACAATAGAGGCAATCGAAACCCATTCTGCGCTTGTAAGATGAAGCCCTCTCGCAAAACTCTTGAACCCCATTAAAGAATTCCAATGTATCACGTCTACCATACATCCAGCCACGATCCTTCTCCATTAGGTAAATTGTCCATGGCAACATATTACGAATCATGTATAATTGCTACCATCTATTATATATGTAAATCAAATTCAAACATACAACATGCATATAACATTCATATAGATATAAAAATGCATATATGCTTCCAAAGAGTCCTTATCACTCCAACCTAACCCATCCTTGAACGTTTCCTCTCACTAGTGAATGTATGTCGAATTTCCAATTTTAAGGAATATCCGGCAGCATTTCCCCCCAGTTCTCCAAGTACACGATGTAGGTAATAAGTTACCCACATATGTACCCAGAGAACATGGTGTTCGAGGAAATGGTAAGTCAAGATGTTCCTTAAAATCGAAAAAAATAGACATACATTCACCACCTAAGTGAGAGTAAACGTTCAAGAACAGTCCCAACCGGGGACTATTCAAGACTTTCTCCTAATGAGAAAGCCTTGAACGGGTATCTAGGCATATGATGATGCAAACATTTCATATATTTAATGTTGTATTTAGTTTGTCATTATATAATACACGAATCTAATAGCTAGCATGAAAAACCGTTTATTAAAATAATAATAGAGAGAAACAAATATTTATAGCTTAGAAAAGTTTATAATTCATACCAACACAATAGATGTATTCTTTCTAACTTCCCAGTTGAGCTAAATTAATGTGTAGTCTTCAAACTACACTTGAACTTCAATTCACATATGAACCTATAAAAAGAAAAAACAAACTAAAAGTTATTAGTAAGTATGTATGAGAAATGGATAATAAATACAAATAGGGGCATATGATTAAAGAGAACGAGAAATTCTCTAAAGTTAGCAATCAAATGTGAAACTATGCCCCCCTAAATGGTTCATTCTAACCAATAAGAATATTTATTGACATAAATATGTAAATTGGGATTTTTTTTAGAATTCTTGGTAGTTTAGTTGAAACTTGAAAGTAATCATTTCATCACTAAGTTCACAAGGTTCTCTTCCAAAAAGTTTCTCAATAAACTTTTACAAAAACCCTCCGACTTATATAAACCTCTATTTCATTTTTCTCCGAACCAGATATTTCCATTAGAAGTTTGAGTTGAGAACATTGAAATCTTAACCCCGTTCTTAAATAGTGCATCGTACTTGAAAGAATGTAATGTGTTGCTTTATCATTCAAAGTCCCAGAATATATACATAGTACATCTCGTATTCTAAGGCTACAAAGTAGGAACTAAATTGGCTAGTTAGATAAGACTTGGAGCTCGGATGGCTACAACTCACAAGAGACAGGAAAACTAGACAAAAATATAACAATTAAACAAAAACATATCTCCTTTCCCCTATCCTTACCCCTCTCCCTATAGAAATTCTCTCCCATCTCTTACACCTCCTTCCTGCACTGCATCCCTCTTTTACAGCCCGTTTCCCAGCCTCTGCACTACATCTCACTCTGCACCCTTTTCCCAGCCCCTAAACCGATCCCTACCTCTCTCCCCCTACCCCATCCCTTACACCCCTGGATGCACTTGCCCCCACTTCCCTGCACCACACTGCCTGCACTCACTGCACTCAGCCCTTGAACCCCTGCCTACACGTGTACTCGTCTATGCATGCCCCCTCCATGTACTATTAATCTAGTACATGCCCCCTGCATGCACTTACTGCACTCATCCCTTGAACCCCTGCCTGCACGTGTACTCCTCTATGCATGCCCCCTCTCTGCACCCTTTTCCCAGCCCCTAAACATATCCCTACCTCTCTGCCCCTACCCCATCCCTTACACCCCTGTATGCACTTGCCCCCACTTCCCTGCACCCCCCTGCCTGCACTTATTGCACTCATCCCTTGAACCCCTGCCTGCACGTGTACTCCTCTATGCATGCCCCCTCCATGTACTAAGGTGTCAAGATTGCATGATAAAGTCCAGGATAACAGCTATTAATCTAGTGATTATGTTTTCAGTGACAAGACAAATAGCATATGCTCATCAGATCATTAAATCAACCCACATCTTTACAGCTACTAATTAGTACCATTGTACCCCATCATTGCACAAACAGAATCAATTCGCAACTCCCACAGAAAAATTAACCCGAATACTCAACTTCGTAAATAATATCTTACATCAGTCAAAAAATCAAAATTAATCTTCTCAAAATTAGTACCATTGTACCCCATCATTGCACAAACAGAATCAAAATTAATCAACCAAACAAGGATGCATGCCCATTCTATGTTGCCTGAGAAACCACAAAACATCACACAATCTTCTCAATTACCTGAAATGGCGCCTTAGACCCACAATGAGAGCGAGCAAGAAGGTTGTTTTACGTGGAGGGGGCGGCGGCAATGCACGTGTATATTCACATACCCTAGATTACAACGGCCATATAATTACTAAATTGTAAAAAAAAATGCACCAAAAACTCAAAGGAATTCATATAAGTAAAACCTACCTTAGCTTGAAGTCGTTTCAATGGAGGTAGTTATATGGGTGGAGTTGCTTCAATGGAGGGGGGGCAATGCGACGAACTAGCTGCTTCAATGGAGGTGAGAATGTCGCAGCACGAATTGAACTGCTTTAATGAAGAACGAATTGAAATGCTTCAATGGAGAAGGAATAAGAGAAGAGAAGAGAAGAGGATGAACAAGAAAGGCGCCTTAGCAAATAATATGAATTGAAGAACGAATTGAACTGCATGTGTACAGGACCCTAAAAAACCCGGGTTTTTTTTTTAAATGGCACCGGTTAACCGGTGCCAACTCTAACCTTTTTCCTTTTTTTTTTAAAAAAAAAAAAAACAGTTGGCACCGGTTTGAACCGGTGCTAATCAGCGTATTTGGCACCGGTTCGCTTTAAACCGGTGCCAACTCTAACCTTCTTAATTTTTTTTTTTTTTAAAAAAAACAGTTGGCACCGGTTTGAACCGGTGCTAAATAGTGTAGTTGGCACCGGTTTAATTCAGAACCGGTGCCAACTATGAATTTTTAAGTCCCGCCCATTAATTTTGGCACCGATTTTCAAGAACCGGTGCTATAGGGGGGTGCCTATTAAGTTTTTTCTACTAGTGATTTTTCATCGGCGAAACAATCAAAGCTTTTCTTCTCAAATTTTGATCTTACAAAAATTTAAGGCATAACAAATACTTGCTTCTAGTATATTAGACATGGGAATTAAGATTCATGGAAGCCCTATGTCCACCACCACCCTCCTTGCCGTGGTCGCGGCTCATGAGAAAGAACTCGATTTCGAATTTGTTACCGTTGATATGAAATCTTAACGTAAGTTTTTGTTAAACCTAATCTCTTTCGCATGATCTTTTATTAATGAATTGAATTATTTTTTAGAAAATTAATAAAATTTATTGTTTTGATACTGATTGTTACATCTATTACTCTTAAATATAATAAAATGTTTTTTTTTTGGTTGGTGCTAATTTAATAATGATTTATGATTATACTATTGATCATGCTTTAGTCCATAATTCCCATGTTTTGATTTGTTATTATAATTAACTAAATTTTTATTCTCTCTATATTTTTAAGTGCTTTATTTAGATTAGGAAAAATTAGAAAATAACACCCCAAAATTGTCACGATTTTGATTATAACACCAAAAAAAAAAAAACTTTTATTGTAACACCACAAAAAAAAAAACCAAAAAATTGGTTTCACCACCACTTAACTTTTCCATCTAAAAAACCGTTAGTGGGTCCTACATTGTACACGTGTCAATTATGTATTGGATTAAAAAAACAAAAAAAAAATTTTAAAAAAAGGAAAAACCTTAAAATTACCCAGCCACCATCGGCAACGCTACCGCCGTTCTCCAACCCATCCCCCACTGCCGTCACCCAATCCCAACTGACCACCCTCGACCCACAAAACCGGCCAGCCAGCCGACCACCCTCGACCGTCGAAATCAGCCCAACCGTACCCACGAAATAACCAGCCCCGCTTCAGTTTCAGGTGAAGGTGAGAGGAGTAGGGTGGTTTGTGGTTTTGGGTATGGGTATGGGTGTGCCGGTGTGTGTCGGGGTTTCAGCGACGACTTTGGGTAGGGTAGAGGAGTTCGGCGACGGTGGCTGAGCTGGTTAGGATTGGGGTTTGGGTGGTTCGGCGATGGATTCGGGTCGGGGAGACGACGATGGGGGCTGGCTGGTTTGGGTTGGGGTCTGGGTGGTTCGGCGATGGTTTCAGGTCGGGGAGACAGCGATGGGGGTTGGGTTGGGGTGACGGCCGTGGTAGTGTAGGGTTGACGGTCGTGGGAAACGGCGCCGGTGGTGGGGGTGGTGGCTGGGATAAGATTATAGGGTATTTTTTTTAATTTTTCTTTTTTTTAATCCAATAGTTGATTGACACGTGTAATGTGTGGGGCCCACTTAACGGTTTTTTTGGATGACAAAGTTAAGTGGTGGTGAAACCAATTTTTTGGTTTTGTTTTTTGTGGTGTTATAATAAAAGGTTTTTTTTTTTTTTTTTTTATCAAAATCGTGACAATTTTGGGGTGTTATTTTCTAATTTTTTTTCTTTAGATTAATATGTTCATGCGGGTAGATTAAAGTCTATATCGAATATATTTTTTCAAGCCGGTCAGGTAAAGTTTTGACACCTCTGAAAATAGAGATAATTATTTCAACTATTATTAAATGCATTTTGTTATTATGGCCCTGTTCACTTTACCTTTAAAAAATAATATTCAGTAATTCGGTTCAATAAAAATAAGTTCAGTTCAGTAAAATTAATTTCAGTTCAGTAAAAATAATTTCAATTCAGTAAAAATCAGTAACTTTTAAGAAAAAATATAATAGCAATTCAGTAAATATAATTTCAGTTTAGCAAAAATAATTTCAATTCAGTAAAATTAATTTAAGTTCAGTAAAATAATTTAAGTTCAGCAAAAATATTTTCAGTTCAGCAAAAATAATTTCAGTTCAGCAAAATCAAGATGAAGTGAACGAGACCATATGTCTCTTTATTCTTTCTGGGTGAAGGACTAGGAAAAAAAAATGTTACTCATCAAACTTAAATGTGTTCTATTCACAACTTATATGAATTTTTCTAAATTTATCTTATCTAAAATTTCTTATTTGAGTTTATATAAACTTAATAACCATGATCAAAACTATATTTTTCCTTTTGAAATAAGTGGGAAAATAAATAGAACTAAACAAGGTTTAGAAAATCACATGCAATTGATGTTCATAAAGTAATTAATACGGATAGAGTTGTAAAAAATTGAGACGTTAGGACAACGACTTGACTAGCTGTCTTAAATTTGACTAGAACACCCAATTTGACCATTCTAACACTCTTTTAGACTATAGTTTTAGGAGGTTAAGTCGAGTTTAACTCTGTATATTAAGATGTAATTGAGATTAATGCGCAACAGAAGATAAATAGTACATACTACGTATAAAATTAATGGAGTAATGTACAAAGTATGTAACACTTAAAAGAACAAAAGGAGTAATATGGGTTTAGTTGCACCTTTAATCAAAGTTTTATCCTAAAGTACTCCTCTAAATGTTTTTTGTACGGTGTAGTATTTTTTATTCATACTTTGAATTATTGTACGTTCAAAATCTTTAAAGAGATTTGTAAAAGATAAAGGATGATGTAGTGGTTACGTCTCTTCCAAAGATTGATTAGTGGTTGTAATTGGTAAAGAGAAAACACCATTGTATAGAAAGTGATGGGAGGAGTGGTGTTTTGATTATAATATTATAATTTATAATATACACTGTTGAGTCCCTTAGGTTTTGATTGATAGTTTTGAATGATGACAAACAGCTAAGGGAAACAGGTCCTTGAAAGTGTTCGATACAGTTGGGGGAACCAGCTAACATAGAACACTGTTTCCCCAGACAAGTTATTACTTACATGAGTTTTCTTATTGAACTAACTTGTCTTTATACAGGGAACAGTTATATGATAAAAGTGTTATGTACTGGTAGGGAACCAGTATGTACTGTTTCCATGGCTGCTACGTGGTAAAGCAGTCACATACTCTTTATTGTGCATTAACCATGTTACATGTGCAGTAGTTGAGTTGATTCCAAGACTTGGAGCATAGAAGCCTTTCGAAGATATTTCGAAGAAAGATTGTTTGCTCATAATAGAAGTATTCAAGGAAGATTCAAGTCTTGAAGATTACATGAAGAAAAGACGATTTATGCTTTAATATGTTATCTAGGTTTTCATGTAATATGCTCCGTAGTATGCTTGCATGTTTGGGTTATATAAGTGCTTAAAAGTATATTGAAGTATGATATGAAATCTGGTACAAAGTTGGAACAGGTTTCATAACATGTTTCAATTCAGGGAACCAGGTCGGGGAACCAGGTTCACTGTATTCGAGCTGCCGTTTTGGAAAAAGATTTTACAAAAAGATTTTTTCGAAAAGATTATCTTGAAAATATTTTGTGCAGCTGGAAATAAGATGAAATATTCTTGGTTACCTAAAAACTAGGAGTATTTATCTTAATTGATTCTATCTTTGTGATTAAATCAAATAAGATAAAAACTTTCCTAAAATTACATTATATCTTATTCTCTAAGATTGTGTGATTTAAGGAAACTAGGTTTTAGGAATCTAAGCTTATATAAACTCATCTTATTTCACATATTTCGTGTGCCTCTCCAGAAATCAAAAGAGCAATTATTTGAGAGCATATACTTAAGCACTAATCCCATTCATCAAGTCATATACAAGAGCATTCTAGTACTTAAATATTTTCTCTTAATTAGCTTCGTAGAAGTGAGATCAAAGGGGAGTTCTTGATTCTTGTATTGAGTCTTTAACAAAGGGGTTAAAGGCTGGGTGAGTGTTTGTGAGTTCAAACACATTGGGCTTACGAGTGTAAGTCGAGAGCACACTCGGAGTAGAGTGTGGGGTTTGCTGGTTCCCGGAGTAGGGAACAGCAGAGTGTTCTTTGTCTTTGTTTTTCGGAGTAGATTAATAAAGAACTTAGGATAGGAGGACGTAGGCCTGAGTTGGCTGAACCTCATTAAATTTGTTGTGTTCTTTATTGCTTTGTTTTATTTCGTTAAATTTGTTGTCTTCTTTATTGCTTATTTATATTCCGCTGCGTACGGGAACCAGCACAACTGGTTCCTCACACATAATCCGAAAAGAAGCAAAATTAGCCAACGATTACTTAACACTCAATTCACCCCCCCCTCTTGAGTGCCCATTGAACCTTCAATTGGTATCAGAGCCTAAGCTTCTCGAAAGAGTAACATCTAGAGGAGTTAAGAATGAGTACTCAAGAATTAAGTGCAATCGGTTATGACAACAAGTCACCCAAGTTTAATGGAAATAATTATGCTTGGTGGAAGAACAGGATCCAGAATGTTATCATGGGTATTGATTATGAATGCTGGCTCGTAGTTAAAAATGGTCCTAATATCATTCTCAAGACAGATGTTGAGGGGAACCAGGTTCCCAAGAAGGATAGCGAATTGGTCATTGCTGATTACAAGTTGCTGGAAAAGAATGCTAAGGCAATGTCAATACTACAACAAGCAATAGGTGAGACCGAAACAAA